ACAATGTTAATCGAGTGTAGGCTTCTGTGTGTGTGTGTGGGTGGGTGTGGGTGTGTCTGCTTTCAGCTTGTTCAAACGAAATGTTTATTTCATTGAAAAGGTGTCATTAATAATTTACACGTCTTTCATTATCTTCAAAATAGGCTTAACCAGGAACGAATACCACCTGGTGAGTTATCCAAAACTGAATTAGTAAAATAGAGGTAACTGTCAAGAAACAATGTTCTGAGTTTGTAGGGATTTTGAATGATTCCAGTCCTATAAGTAACTAAATGATTTATTATTATTATTGTTCCCTTGGGTTCCTAGTGGAACATAGGGCTTCAACTGCTGCACGTCTCCACTTGCTTCTGTCTTCTGCTGTACTTTTCACCTGCATCCATGTTATTCCATACTGTTTCAACTCCTCTTCACACGATCTCCTCCATGTCACCCTTGGACGTCACACTCGCCGCTTCCCTTTCAGGTTCCACTCGAGCGATGGCCTGACGTGCGATGTCACCCAGCGGCCTCCTAAGCGAGTGTCCAATCCATCTCCACTTTCTCCTGCATATTTGTTGGGTGATTGGTTCTTGATTTGTTTGTTCCCATAGTTTCTAGTTGGTGATTCTTTCCGGCCATCTGATCTTGAGTATAGAGCGAAGACAGTTGTTGATAAAGGTCTGCAACAGGCTGTTGGAATTATGCTTTGTAACCCGCCAAGTTTCTGATCCGTATAGAAGAAGTGACTTGATGTTTGTATTGAAAATCCGAACGTCAAGTCACTAAATGGTTGTCTTGAATTTCTAGTGAGAACTCATGGCCCATCGAGATTATGCTCATCTGCAGAATTAGTAGGAGAAGTGGCGCTATACGACTAGTTAGTGGAAGTTGTAATTCACTGAGTTCCAACTCAGCAACTGCTTGAGCTTAAGGTCTTGGGTTCGACTCTTTGTTGAGTCACTGGTAGGAAATACTGAAGAGTCGCGGAGTTTGACGAAACAGCAGTCCATTTTTTTGCAGTTTTCAGTGATTTTGCAATTGACTTTAGTTCTTAATGAAACTTACATTAACGTTTCTCATATATACCTAATCCTAACTGACATTGACTCACAAACAGTTAAATTCTCTGGAAGAGTGTTAACAGTTCAATTGTAGAAAGGTGGCCAGCGAAAAGGAAGTTTAAGTTTGACTCCTGCAGAACGCACTTCTAATCTTCGCCTTACCCATAGTAGGTCTGGAAGACAGTGAAAGTTGGGCTGAAGGCTAGGAACCCAACTTCGTAAAAGAAAATACCCTTCAGCTAATGAAACTTAAAAGCTCAAAGATTGGAGCTCCATGTTCCACTCGGAATGCAAAAAAATAAAAAGCCCATCGTGAGGTGCATATTTAAGAGGAGATTTATCCATAATCCAGTTTGAGATTCATTTTGTCAAAGCTGTGATGGATGGGTATACTAATCTTAAGTGTGATCCACGAATAATTTTTTTGTCAGGGTAGGTGACCAGCGAACTCAGAGAATGGAAGTTGTTGACTCATTTTACAACGACTATTGTTTCCTAGATATCTGACTGTTTTAGCTTCGTAGTTACTGATATTCCTCAGAAAAACGTTTTCCACTAAATGATCTGATGACTTAATTTGGGCAACACTCTTCGAACATTCTGAATACACAAAAGTACTTTTCATAAATTTTGCATCAATGGTCCACGGAGAAACAAAGGTCAAAGTTGAATCAATGCAGGTCAAAGTCACAGGTCAGAAGTAATAAAAATACAAATAAATGGGAAATATTACTATGTAAAATTAGATAACAAATAGAAGTTTATTGTAATGTCAAATGGATTTTGAATATATGGAAAAGATTGGAGCCTTTTTCTGTTAGGTCTCTAACGAATTAGATTATGTCACCAATACTTGCTTTATTTATGCATTCATAGACACTGTTAAACATCAACTTTATGATTCATCTCAAACATGCGCTTTGTAATAAATGACACTCAGCATCTATTTACAGGACCAACTAAGTTAGGCTATTTCGTCTGTTCTTGTAGCCACTTTGGAGTGTGTTCCGTTGATCTATAGGGGGTCATTAGGCTTCAATTTTATTCCTGGAGTTTCAGTAATGATTGTGTCACTTTCACAGGATGCGTTGTTAACTACCCTCCGAACCCTCTGTCCTTTTCACGTTTAACGTCGGATAGGCGTGTATTGAGAGTGATTTAGTAGGGATTACATCAGAGAGTAGTGGGTAGCTGTTTTGCCCCACCTAGAGAATCTTCATCAATACGCCCTCAAGACTCCATCGTGAATCAAATCCAGGGTCTTCAGATTACTCAGCGAGTCCACCAGCTATTCATTTTGTAGAGTACCATTTCGAACCTATATTTATTGATCAGACTTTGATAATAATTCATTAACGATAAATTTACACAAGCATCTTTTTGAGGAGTCCAACTGAACTGAAGAAGTAGCCTATTGTTCGAGGTTGACACTTCTATAGCTGCCTCGAATAAATATAACCTATAAGAAACTCATGCTTTTTATAGTAATAATATCTCTGTCCTTTATATTTTAACTGATTAAAAATGTGCATTAAAATGTCTTCAAAAGAATGGTTACTGAACAAAGAACACTCTTAATATATGTGTAAGACTTGGGCACTGTGGTAGTAATAAACAAAAAAACTAATATGGAAAGAACTCTCTTTTGGATAACCTGCTCTTCATCATCAGGTTCTACAGTTTTATATATACATTATAGTGAATGAATGAATTAGTGTTATTAACGACATTAATGTGGTTGTTTAAATAACATCGAATCAATAAAATCATTAGAATACAGTTCAGTAGCATTTGCATAACAATAAACTCAATATCAGAAAAATTAGGAAAGATAATAATACAAATTCATAAATTTATAGTCTCTACTGAAGGCTGGCCACGGCAGTAGTAGTGGTTGGCTGGACGTGTTTCTTCTGCACACAGAGTACCGGTTGTTTCACGAGATTCGCGATAACCTATGCGGTTTGCAGTATGCGGTACCTGGATGTTTTTGGCAATTTATTTGGTAGCCGGTAGCTGATGATGGAGAAGGATTCTTCCACGCTGATTTGTGGCCGGCCGCTTTGGATCAGGTGGTCCAATATCGAACTGTTGATGGTTTCTACTACACCTATACTTAGCCACACTGGTAGATGTTCCCTAGCGGACACGAAAATTCAAGTTCCTAGAGCAACAGCCAATACAACTCTCTCCACAGACGTAGTTGAATTGGTGGATGCGCTTAGAAGTGGCTAGTCTAGTTACGTCATCTATCAATCTAGGAATCACTATCGGTTGTTTAGAAAATATGACTTGTAGTTTACCAGCATTCAAAGTTCTTTGAACTGATTCTTTTAACTTCTCAGTAATTATTTCACTACGTGCGTCAAACTTGCATTACAGTCATATATACATATATATATATATATATAAAGGTTTCTCATTCACAGATAAAGAATAGTCATGTTCTGCTTTATTGGTCAGGTGTTTGTCCAGATAAATTTGCCGGGATAGCTATTTTCGGTCAGGGTATCATATCACAATCCTTAGCTCATCTTCAGTTACTTCTTCTGAGAATATATAGCGCCAACCCTGTGGCTGAAGGTCTTTACTAAATTTCTTTTGTTCTGGGGGAGGAACGAAGCTATGAAAATGTGTATATTGTCCTGTCCATGTACTTTTTCCTTGGCAAAATTTCTGTTTATACTACCATCTGATTTTCTTGTAAGGAGGACATCTAGGATGGCAATTCTATTTTGGAAAACAGAAAGATTGAGCAACGAAGAAATATTTACTTTTCAGTTAGATCCTCATCTCTGGCTCTACTCTAATATACATGTATAGCATTTTGATTACAATACACAACAGTTTACCAAACAAGTTGCGATATGTTTGTTAACAATAATTAGTCAGTGTCAAAATGTCAATGGGTTGATAATTAACGAAGAAAATCAATACACATTTAAAAGGTAGAAATCGATAGAATAAATTAATTTTACAAAGATAACACGTAATTAAAGATGAAGTAGCGAAAATAAATAAAAATAAAATGAAATAATTTGGACAAATATAATTTTCATAGGTTTAGGGGGAGGGGGGAGACGTAGTCCTTTTTATGCATTCTTGTAGCGATGGCCACAGTAAGAAAAGTGGTTGTACAAATTTCTTCTGAACACATAGGCTTGGCTTCTTCAGGTGGATTCCGATTGCCTCAGCTGTCTGTAGAAGACGAACTCGTAGAGCAAATTTAAGATTAGTCGGAATGCGATAAATAATTTTAAATGCAGTATTAACATCAACTTTGTGCTCAGTATCAACAAGGTGTGCTAAAATAGAGCTACGAATAGATCTTGTTTGTCTCTTGCTTAACCATGATGGATGATTTTCGGAAATACGATGATGAACCTACCTAATTGTACACTCAATGTAGCTGGCTCCGCAGCTGCAGTCAAACTGGTAGATACACATTGAAGAGTCAAAATTAGGTAGTTTATCCTTATTTCTCGAATGTAGAATAGGGGTGGTTGTGAAGAGACAACGTACCTCTGCTGCATAATGAGCTCTTTTAACTGCATTCTTCAGGCGTTGTGTTATGATTTCGCTGATTTTGTCACCGAGGAACTGCAATTTTATGAACATTGGTTGTTTTGGAACTGTAGCCATACAGACTCTCCTTGGTGCTGAATTCATATTTTTCTCAATAAATTTATCTGGATAACCATTTATTCGAAGTAATTCTCTAATAATCTTAAGCTCCTCATTGAAGCAGTCGTCTGAAAAGATTAACTTGGCTCTATGAACCAGACACTTTACCAGGTTATATATATCAAAGGTACAAAACTCAAAAAATGAGTGTATTGACCGATTGAGATTCCTCTTCGCATGTGAATTTCATAGTCGGATATACTTCATTGAATTCATGAAAAATTTAATTCTTCCTTTTCTTTTCCTTTCTTTTTATATTACAATTCATAACAGGTGGTGCAATATACATGTTTCCATTGGTCAACAGTTTTGTGCATATATTAATGTACACTTATTATGGATTAGCTGCTGTCGGAGCATATCATCTATTATGGTGGAAAAACTACTTAACCCTCATTCAAATGATACAATTTCTTTGGTTTATTATCCATCAAGGACAATTTTTATTGATTAATAATCCATCTTCATGTAATTTTCCAAAAGTATTCCCAACAGCTATAGTTATCTATTCTGTAATATTTTTTATATTATTTTTTAATTTTTATATGAAAGCATATTGGAAAAAAGAACGTTTAATTAAGCCATCAATGAATGGTGAACAGGTTCGAAATTCAAAACAGTATTCTCCCACCACAAATTCAATGTTCGATATGGAGATTGGTAAAAAGATGGAATAGATTATTTTGTAATTTTGTAATCTTCTTTTTTGTTCCCTTATTTGAATTGTTTGCGGAGAAAAATAATAAATATTTATTTATTTATTCATTGGTTCAACGTTTCAATGGTTTCTCAATATTGACTGTTCAATGTTTCAATGGAAGAGTTTTTTCTGTACCGTTGACCAGTCGACTAATTATTTATTATTTGTGTGGTTTGTAGTAAGATGAAAATAAAGACGAGATGAAGAGATAAAGTGATACTTTTGTTTTAGAAAATCTTTCAAACATTACAAACAATATAGAATGTAGTTAAGTGAGGCAAGGATGAAATAGTGCTCAGTTATTAGGATTATTTTTTAGACAGAAGATAAGTAGTTCAGCGAAGAGTCTCTATTCGGCGGCGAATTCATTTTCATAGCTGTACAATCGCAAATATATGCATGGTTGTTTTGTATGTGTGTGTGTGCATTAAATTTGTCAAGCGAAAATGCAATTAGTGAGTTCAGATGAATTGGATGTTGGTATAAGAGAGTAGTAGCAAAAGTGATGAGTTGTCACAAACGATTGTTAAATAAGAGTTACGTGGTGGCGTGAATAGTTTGATGAAAGAGTTGTACTCAAGGTGTACGTGGTAACAAAATATACGGAATTACACATGGGTTTTAAGTAGAAAAATAAACATACAAACAAAATTTAAGTCAAATCAAACAAACAAACAAAGAAAAGTTAAGTCAAATCAACACAGTTGTTACCATGAGAGTAGAAGTGGTTGAATAATTTTCTTTTGTATTCACAATTCTGGTTTCGCCAACTGAGTGGCTAGGGCTTCTGCGATGCAAAGAAGACGGAATCGTACTGTCTTTGGAAGGTTGTTCTTCACTTTGTAGATTACTTTGAGGGAGGCGTTTGTTGAGACGGATTGGCCAGTGTTGACGAGATGTTCTATTATTGCACTCCTTATGCAGCCATTACTTCCTTTCTGCAGCCACGCTGGATAATGTTCTTTGGCCCTTTTTTACAGAATACGCGTTGAACGACCGAATGTTTGAATGGGATTACTTTTTAGTCGAAGGATTTCATCATGAGCTAACTGACATCAGTTAGAGAACCACTGGAATACCAGATGTTTCGTTAGTCTAGTTTGGGACTCTTCAGTGGTACGCACCCAGTCGACTGAGGTTCGAACCCAGTACCTTCTGGTTACAAGGTTGGTGGTCTTGTAGACAATTATAAGCCACTGGGACCCGATTCCTCAATGGCCAGTTCATGAATTCTAATTTCTGCCAATTCACGACAAATCGCCACCAATTTCGCAATGTCTTCTTCGATGAGTAACTGCCATCGCCTCCAACCTTCTTTACCTTGCTGGTCTCGGCTCCCCACTAGGATCACAAGTCACTGCCAGTCGCTAGTGAACATCAGATCAATTTGCAGTTGTTTGTTTTTAAGGGGTTTTGTTTGAATGGTTGGAGGATTTCATCATGAGCTGACATCAGTTAGAGAACCATTGGTAAGCCTGTGGGTACTAAATCTGTATAAGTCAAAGAATTTTTCTGAAAGGCCTTCTTGAGTTAACTTAGTGTCTCACTAGGCTCATTCATGAGACTAAATGGTTCAGTGGTAGAGCCATTGGCTATAAATCTGGTTGACCGAAGATTTCAGGCACCTTGGAAGCATCAATTTCTTCAAGATTTCAGAGACACCTTGATCATGACCGTCAACAAGCAGGGAACCTAGTTGAAAGACTTCATGACAATTCACCCCCCCCCACCCAAATGAAATCACCTTTCTCTGGAGTCTTCTTGGTTCCAGAGGAAACTCTTAAGAACCTCCGATGGTGAAATAGACTGTCCCAGTCGTGGACTTATCAACGGTACTGAGGCACTAAGGTTCAAACCCACGACCTTCCGGTTGCTAGGCGAGCTTGTAGACCATTCAGCCACTGGGACCTGACTCAATGCCCAGTCAATGAATTCCGGCTTCTACAAGCTTGTGACTATAGCTCAATCACTAGTTAATATTATCGGGGGCGGGCATTCGTCCTGAATGCCGAAATGGTGGTGAACACCACTGGTTACGACTGCTCACTAGAACTCCAGGCAGTTTTATCCCCTAGCTAATCACCAGTGAGCATCAGATAGAAGTTTACAGTTGAATCTTTCTTAAAGAATGTCATATTTAGTCAAAAAGCAATATCAGCTGGAGAACCATTGGAAGCCGTGGTGTACTGGATAGCTGACTTTTCAGCACTATGCATCAAGAACCAAAAAGAACCGAATCACAAAATAATTGAGCAAATAACATCCTTTTCGATAATTTTATTTTATTTTTATTTTGATTACAGCTTAATGCCACACCGTATTTTTTAGGTACAGGTATGGAATTTTCAGCATGGATATCGGTAACTCAAATTTTGCAGGCCGACCATAGATATCGGGTGTGCGCCGGCAGGGGGTCGAACCCCGGACCATGTGCATGGTCGGCGAGAGTCCTAACCACTATGCCACCACTGTGCAATTATATACATATATGTTTATATGCATAGAATATTCTAGATTAGTAGTCAATAAAAATATTAGTGTTTTTTTAAATAATATCGATTTGTTAAGTAAGATCAGTGGAATTACAGTTCCTTAAACATGCTTAAAATGTAATAATAATATAATAGCAAATAGAATATTAACTAAAATTAGGAAAATTCCACAAAATTCAGAATCATTCAAACCTAGATGGCCAAGGTAATGATAATGTCTGAACTAACTTCTTTTGGATGCACATATTAGGCTTCTTAATATGCATCCCAACAGCCAGCTCAGCAATATTTAGTTGTCGAACTCTTAAGGCAAACTGAGATTCATAGATATGCGGTAAAAGACACTGAAAGCATGGTTAACGTCAATCAGTCTTGTGTTCTGTATCCACAAGATGAGATAGAATAGCTCAGTGAATAGATTTTGTTTGTCCTTTTCTTTACCACACAGAGGGATGTTCGGAAATTCAACGAGAAACACACCAAATTGTACAGCTTATGTAAATGGCTCCAAAGGAGCAGTTAAATTGGTAGATACACATGGAAGAGGCGAAATTAGGCAGTTTATTTTTTACTCCTGAACGCAAAAGAGGAGTGGTTTTGAAGGCACAGCGCAATTCAGCAGCAAGGAATGCTCTTTTTACCGCATTTCTAAAGTGTTGTTTTAGTATCTCGCTAATTTTGTCCCCAAGGAACTGCATTTGTAAGAATAAGCCCCTTTTTAGGAACTGTTGGTACCTAGGGCTGCCTTGATTTAGGATTCATATTCTTATCAATAAACTTTTCTGGATAACCATTTTCACTCAGCAACCGTTTAATATCATTAAGTTCCTCATCAAGACATTCATCCGAGCAGATTGCGCTTGCTCTGTGTACAAAGCACTTTATCAGATTGCGTTTGTATGTGAAGGGCACGAAGCGGTGAAAATGAGTATACTGACAGTGAGTTGATGCGGGGTTTCTGTAAAAACTTCTTCTTATTGTATTATCCTCTTTTCTGGTCATAAGGACGTCTAGAAAGGAAATACTAGAGTCTTTTCCTTTCTCAATAGTAAAATTTATTGCAGGATGAACCTCATTAAATTTATTCAGGATGTTCTTTGCTTCCTCCTCAACTTTCAAAATCAAAAGTGTATCATCCATGTTCCGATAATAGAATTTTAGTTCATCAGTTACATCTTTCAAAGTTCCATTTTCTAGTTTCGCAAGGAAAATGTCGGCTAGACCAAACTCATTACCTTTAGGTAACAAAGTAAGCCTGTTTACCATTTACCAACATGAGGCGATATCAAAAAATATGGCCCCGTACATAAGTGAAGTCTTTACTGCACACATTTTTGATGACTTCTGAAATAGAATAAAATAACTGCCTAGTGCTTTCTGGTTTCCAATCATTTTCCAGCTGATATCGATCTGTTCGTGATGAAGGTCAACTTGGAATCACTCAAATAACCTGCGAATCGGCACTTAAAAGTTCATATGAAAATTGGATATTTGGTATGTGACCTAGAAGTTAAGTGTATATTTATTAGGAACCAGTGGTTAGAAAATCAGATTGAAAAATGTTGAATAACAGCCCATTGTTTATCTATTCAGTAAGCGTATAAATAGCTACCTCCTCTTTGATGCTCGTCCTAATAGATAAAATCTTTTTTTCAATTACAGTATTCCTTATCGAGCCACTGTTACCTTTTAGTAGTCAAGCAGGATAATGTTCTTGCACTCTTTTAGATAATACAAACATTGAACGAACTATAAATCTCGCTCCACAGAAGCAAGTGAAGTGGTAGATGCACGTAAAAATGGTTGAGTGAGATAGTTTATCTTTCGAGTTGTTGAAAAACATTTGGCGGCAAGGGAATACCATTAGTAGTGTACCACCAAAGAGTGCTCATTTCAGGGCGTTTGATATTCTCTTCTTCGGGTTATCGATCAGACGGCCATCTTTGAACACTACACTCATGTAGAGCACCTTCTTTGCACAAAGATAGGATTTTCTTTGTTCGTTTCAAGCTTTTGGTGTTTGTCTGTAAAGCATGGGGCTGGGGTGGTGTCTTCCTCAAAAGAGTGATCTCTTCGTCTACTGATTCAGGGATGCAGATTCTCTGGATTATAGTCACAAGAGGCATTATCAGGTTTTGCTTGTGACTAATGGGTACCTAAATGTAACAGTTTGTTAAATGGACGTTTTACATAGGTTTCAGAGTTCCTTCAGTCTTCTTTGTTAGTTGAACATCCACAAATGCGGTTGTTTGTTCACTTTCTACTTGAATTTTAAATTTAATGGCTGAGTGGCAGTTATTAAAACCTTGAAGGACATTATTTAGGTCACATTTGTCATCACGAATCATTTAAGTACCATCAATGTACCTTTTATACAGTAGAAAAAGTTGACGATGGGCGATTTCAATCATTTTGTCAAATATCACCTTTGAAAACAAAGGGGTATTGTCTTTGGCGAACTTTGTAGTTCCTTTTGAAAGAGAAGTTTATTGAGACAGATTGTCAGAGTCAACACTCTTTAGGGAGCTACTGCTATTCTTCTACAGTAATGCAGGATAATGTTCTTGAACCTTCTTGAACAGAATATGCGTCAGATGACTTATACATCTCGCTTCACAAGAATAGGTGATCTGATTTATGCATATAGAAGTGGTTAGATGCAAAATCTTATCTTTTAATCTCCTGTAAGCCAGTGAACAACTGGAGAACACTTTTCTTATG